ACTGGCTAACTGATAGATCTCAAAATATAACCATAAATGGGGAACCATAACATCCTAGAACACTAGAACTGGAAGGGCCCTCGAGAGGTCAAGTCCAGTCCCCTGCCCTCGTGGCAGGACCAAGCACCATCTAGATCATCCCTGATAGATGTCTGTCCAACCTGCTCTTAAATACTCCAGTGGTGGATATTCTACAACCTTCCTAGGCAATTTATTCCAGTGTTTAACCACCCGGACAGTTAGGGAGTTTTTCCTAATGTCAAACCTAAACCTCCCTCGCCACAATTTAAGCCCATTGCTTCTTGTCCTATCCTTAGAAGCCAAGGAGAACAATTTTTCTCCCTCCTCCTTGTAACACCCTTTTAGGCACTTGAAGACTGCTGTCATGTCCCTTCTCAGCCTTCTCTTTTCCAAACGTAACAAGCCCGGTTCTTTCAGTCTTCCCTCAGAGGTCACGTTTTCTAGACCTTTCATCATTTTTGTTGCTCTTCTCTGAACCCTCTCCAAACTCTCCACTTTCTTCTTCAAATGCCCCAAACTTGAATTATACCCAGAACTTGGCACACTACTCCAACTGAGTCCTATCAGTGCAGCGTAGAGCGGAAGAATGACGTCTTGTGTCTTGCTCACGATGCTCCTGTTAATGCATCATCAAATGGGCCTGGTTCTAGTGGGGTCCTGCGAGGGTCGGTTTTTGGCCCCTGTGGTAGTGGCCCCTGTGGATCCCGTGGTACGCTAGGCACAAGCGAACAGTGTACGTCGTCCTCCGGCTAAAGGGCAACGTACACATCTCTGGACACAGACTGCAGACTGTGATTTAGGGCAGGGGACCATCCCAGACCCAGGAATGCTGACAAAGATTTGGGGTTCCTGGGATGGTATTCAGCTGACCAGGAGCTCCCAGTGTGACACTGGCTAGTGCGATCCTACCTGTGTCTGGCACTGGTGCGACCATGGCTGGATGCTGTGTCCAGTTCTGATGCCCGCAATGCAAGGGGGGGGGTTCATAGAATGGAGAGGCTCACGAGAGCCACGAGACGATTAAAGGATCCGAAAATCTGCCTCACGGTGCTAGACTCAAGGAGCTCAGTCTGTTTAGCGTCACAAAGAGTGGGGGAAGGGGTGACTGGGCCCCAGTCTGTAAGTGCCGATGTGGGGAACACACGTTTAATGGGCGCGTCAGTCTAGCCAAGCAGGGTCGCTCAGTGGCTGGAAACTGAGGCTAGATACATTCAGGCTGGGAATAAGTTGTGCATTTTTCACAAGGCGGGTAATTAAGCATTGGAACCATTTGCCCAGGGTCTCTATCACTGACCATACATCAAGACTGGCTGTTTGTCTAAAGGATTGGCCCAGGGGTGGGGCCGGTTTCTGGCCTGTGCTTGGCAGGAAGTCGGACTAGATGGGCAAAATGGCCCCTTTTGACCTTGAAGTCTCTGACCCTCTGCTCGGATTCCCTCCCTCTGACTTGCTGCTCGCCCACCTCTCCTTGCACAGCCCTGCTCTTGTGCACCTCTCCCATGGCTCCTCGCCAGCGCCCCCCCCTCCCGTGCCACTCCCCATTCCCATTGCCCCGCATCCCTTCTGCACTGGACCCCCTCCAGCCCCGTAGCCCACGTCTGAATGTAAACCTGCACCGGAGTGAGAGGGCGGATGCCCCGTCTCTCTCCAAGGGACTGACTGCAGTGAGCCACCTGTGGCCAGTGCAAGCCACAGCAGAGCAGCCCTTTTGCCTGGCCATCTCTGGCTACGCCTGCACTGCGGCGGGAGGCCAAGTTGGACAGTCACACAGAGCTAGCTCTGGCCGAGCGAGCATGCTCAAACCAGCCGCACGGCCAGGGCAGCCCTGGCTAGCCCCCTGCGAACGTCAGTCAGGAGGCAGAGAGGATGCTGTGCAGGCTGGGAATTGCACCGCCCTGGTGCAGCAGAGGCAGATCCTCCGGGCCCCTCTGTTCCAGCCATGTGACCAGCTCGCTGCTGCTCATTGAGTGTTGCCGGGCTGGTGCTTCCTTGCCTTTTACACCCCCAGCCCAACCCGCCGCAGCACTCGATTTCTGCAGGGGGCTGCATGGCAGCGTTGGCAAAAGGCGATTCTTTTTTTCAGGCGTGTTGCTCTCCTAGCATAGCCCCTGGCTGCTCTGTGGGCCGGGGACAGGGAATTGCTTGCCACGTCCCCACCCATCCTGCTCTGGGGAAGCTGCACCACGGCCCCTGAGCAGGGAGGTCTGGGGAAAGGAGCTGAGCACAAGTAAGCCGGGGCCAGCTGCACCGTGCAGGATCTGGGTCCGAGGGGCGAGCAGGTTGCACCAGGCTCCTCTCCGGTAGTAGTATGAGATGATATTGCGCTGCCCTAACTGCAGAGTCTGCTGGATGAGCTGGGCTGGGCCTGGGTACGGCCAGCGAGGGCAGGGCAGTGCTCTGAGATCCTTGGATGCATGCAGATTACTGTGCCGGGAGGGACTGGGCACTAGAGGGCAGCAGGACACCTCCATGCTTTCTCCAGCACCGCCTTTAGGAACATGGAGTGGGAGCACCCTCAAAGGGGGCACAGGAGAAGATTAAAGGAGAAGCCTTGTGACAGAGTGGGCCAGGTCTGGGCACCGCTGAGGGCGTCCGCTCAGGGCGAATTGCTCAAACTCAGGGCTCCTTACAGCCCCTGACCAGCGACCTTTCCAAACAGGCCACACACCGAACAAAACCCCTCAGACCCCCCAGCTCTCCCTGTGCCACAATCAGCCCCAGGCCTAACGCACAGGTGAGGGGCTATAGAACCCAATCTCACCTACCCCAAATGGGTCTTTCCAGTCCCAAAGACCCAGCCACAGGTCCCAATGAATTTACACTCTGGATCTGACCCACAAGAGCACGCTGGGACAATCCTTTAGAATCTAAAATCTAAAGGTTTATTAATAAAAGAAAAAAAATCAAGAGAGAAAGGTTAAGGAGAATACATCACATGCATTGAATCACCCAGTTCTTGATGCAGGCTCTCAGCAGAGATGTTATAAACTGCTATCTTATAAGTCTTATGGTGCACATCCTATGTCAGGATGGGTCCACGGTTCTCCCCGGCTCTCTGTCCCTCGCAAGGCTGCATCTGGGATCAGGAGCAGAATTGAAGACAAGATAGAATTTGCCTCATGGCATTTTATATCCCTCCTGGCGTCCTCCTGGCTAGAGCAGGTCACATGGTCGAGTGACCTCCCTCTGTTCCACAGGCTGGCAGCCATTATGCCGTGGCTAGTTTGCAGGTATCCAGATTTCCAGACGCATTCCTCAGGTGTGTATTGGGATCTCGGTGAGCCTTGTCCCTGGAACCTGCTAATTAGCATAGTCACTGACTGGACAGTCCTTCCCATTGCTCTGTATCAGACAGAGAATCTTCCAGCATCAACACAGAATACATATTTATAACTCCACATACAGATATCACGCAAGTACATGAACAACATACATAAAATCAGTAGAACAGAAGCTTTCGTTTGACACTTCACATGGCCCCCTTTGTACATACTTTGGGGCAAACACCCCCCCTTGGGTGAGCAGTGATCTGGCTTCTCCCTTTAAAATCCAGGAATGTGACAGGCCTGTGTCATGCTTCAGTTGCCCTCTGAGACAGCCTGAGAGCGCTACCCATTTCCCTCCCTTTGGCCTGGGGGAGGCTGGTACTTTCTGACTGGCATCCGCCTGCCAGCTGGAGCACAAAGGAATGATTCTCCTTTGAAATGCTTCCCTGGTATGTGGACATTAGACTTGTCAGGGGATTATTCCGACGAGGAGCAACTGCTTGTGACAGACATTCCAGCTGGTAATGCTTTATTTTAAGCATCTGTTGACTAATGCTGAATTACAAAGGGGGGCCCATGGAAAACGCAGGTGACATCTCCCGGAATGCAGAATTAATTCACTGCATGCCAGTCCATGTCAGAGCTGCAAATGTTTTCCAAGTGAAAGGCTGCTCACAATAAATAGGACCCTAGCCCTGACTCTGTGTCGGGCTGCCCCCTCCCATCCATTCACGGGGCTCCGCTCTTCTGTTAGCCTATCCGTTCTGCATCCCCCTTTCCCAGCAAACACAGATGCATACCAGCTGACTTCCAGTGGCTATGCAAGGCGCAGAATGTGGCCATGACCCGTTATCATTCACCACACACAAGCGGCTTTTCACATAGAAATATTCTAGGCTAAGCTTTTTACCCGCAGCCAGTTTGTTGATAAAAGGACCTTGAGGTTTCCTTGAGGATTTAATACTGCTCCCATCGGTTCTGAACACTACTGCTGTTGGGTAGAGCGCAGCGGGCGGAATGATTCTAGTAACAGGCGTGATCCAAAGGGAGCAATTCGTTGTATGGCTTACTGAGGCAGAGAGCCACTGGACAGTAATCTCTGAAATATTGTCCCTGTAATATAAAATAGTCCAGGGATCAGCAACCTTTTCAAACCAAAGAGCCAAACTACATGGTCAACAAAAAGCCGCCTAAGGATGTCTATTTGCATGACTGAAAATGTACAACTGAATATTACTGATAATTGACATGGTGATGAATAATAGCAGAAAGGAAACATTTTACCCACAAACTTTATTTGATGGGACTTCTGCTGCTGCATCTTTTCGCTCATTTCTTTGACGTTTACATCACGACTGGTCAAATTCAGGTCCAGGCGCGTAGTCAAGCCACATGAATAATTACATAAACTTTTGAATTGATTTTTCATTTGAATTTAAAACGTTGCCTGTATTTTGGGAATGACAAAAGAGCCCTATTTGGTTCCATAAACAGCACCAGGGCCAGCATTAAAAATTCATTTATAATAGCCTCGAAATAAAGAGGGACTTTCTGGGAACACCATATGCAGCTTTGCTTTAGTACGCAGCAGAGTTTCACCCCTCCTGACACACACGCACGCATGTGTGATTGCACACCCGTTGTGTAGGCAGAGGTAGGCCCCTTTGAGGAGACAAGCAGAGTCCTCCTCCGATGAAACTGACTGCTAATGTTCTAATCGTTTAGAACAGCAAGTTTCTGCTCCGGGTGGCACTGAAGATGTTGCCAGCTTTGTTGAGACTCACTTCCCAGCTGGAGACCAGAGTCCAGAGGGGAATGAAGGGGTGCTGTGTTCCGACTCTCTCCCCCCCGAGAAAACTCTTCTCCTTCAGCCTGCAGGCAGCAATGGGGCCGTAGCCCCGGAACAGCATGGAATGCCACGGGACCGCGGTGCCAAGACAGGTGCCGATATAAATATCCCTGGTGGAGGCTCGAACAACGAGAGCCAAGAGGAGGAGGACGGCGGGAACGTCGCCAGTGATTCCTCGGTGGTGTTGGAAGACGCCCCGGCTGCCGGCAGCAATGCTGAGCGAGGTGCGGTTGAGGAGAGAGAGGCAGATGCAGCCCAAGGGACTCCTCTCCCAGGGGACGATGCAGAAGGGCTGCTGGGCAGTGAACAGCCGAGGGGCAGGAAGAGTGAAGCTGCAGAGGAGAACGGGGAGTTCCGTGTTGCTGGGGTTGAAATCAGACTGGGAGAGGCTGGGAGTGAAAAGGAACCAAACTCTCCTCTAGCCCACAGGCCTGCAGCAGAGAGGCAGGTTTTTCAGGGTGGTTCAAAGGCTGTGGCTGGAGAGGAGGCGGCAGCAGCAGAGCACCGCTCAGGGCCCGAAGAGGGTGAAGATGCTGCTGGAAAGGAAAGCGAAGCCAGCGAGGGATCCCAGAAGAGCACCCGGCCCTCAGAGGCCAGCGGAGAATCGCCCCCTGCGGGAGATGCAGGTAGCGCTGAACCGGCTCTAGCCGCGGCAGGAACTCTTGAGGAAGAGGGGACGCAGCCAGAGGAACGCACCAGAGAAGACACGAGCCGGAGTCGACGTGTCAGCCGAGATGCCGACTCTCATGCGCCAGGTGAGGACCATGCCAACGAGCAAGACAAAGGCGCCTCCGGCTCAGAGGAGACCAGTTCTGTCCCTGGAGAACCCCGTGGGGACAACGGACTCGCTGCCAAAGAGAAGGAGCCTGATTCAGGCAATGGAGCTGGGGACAGCCCAGAGGAACACGCTGATGGCCAGCCAGCAGAAAGGGGCCAAGAAGAGGCTGTCACTGCTTCAGCTGCGGGAGTGGGAGAAAACCCCGACTTGGACACAGAGGAGTCGGAAGAAAGTTCCGAGGAAGAGGGTGATGACCAGGAAGAGTCCGAGGAAGAGGGTGAGGACTCTGCAGAGGAACAGGCAGAGGGGGCTGGGCAGGCTGAGTCCGAGGAAGAGGGTGATGACTCAGCAGAGGAAAAGGCAGAAGGTGATGGCCAGGCAGAGGAAGAAGGTGATGACCTAGCAGAGGAAAAGGCAGAGGGGGCTGGCCTGGCGGAGGAAGGGGAAGAAGGTGATGACCCAGCAGAGGAACAGGCAGAGGGGGCTGGCCTGGTGGAGGAAGGGGAAGAAGCTGATGACCCAGCAGAGGAAAAGGCAGAGGGGGCTGGCCTGGCGGAGGAAGAAGGTGACGACCCAGCAGAGGATCAGGCAGAGGGGGCTGGGCAGGCAGAAGAGGAGGCTGGCCTGACACAATCAGAGGAGGAGGCTGAAGAAGGCACATCCCCAGACGCCCAAGAGGCTGCTAGCACCATGGAGAGCCATGACCATGCCAAGCTGGGAGAGACCAGTGTAGCGGAAGCTGAGTCTGATTCTGCAGGCCTGGGGAATGCGCCCCACAGAGCCACGGAGCAGGACCTAGATGGCTCTCCCAATAGCAACCCGGCGGTAGAAGAGACGCTTTCTGTGGCGCGCGCCTGGCCACAACCATCCTGCTGGTGCTGTGCCCGAGCCCAGACCAATAGGTCTGTCTGGTTTGTTACTAGGCGTGCCGATAGTGATACCTAACCGCAACAGGCATTGGCTAGTGAACGGCTCAAGCCCCGAGCGCGGCTGAGCTCGGCCGGCATTAAAATGCACCCAGTGCACGGCCCTGGTTCTAATGCTTGTGCTTTCAGTGTGTGCCCCTAACCAGCTGCTCCGACCAGCAATCTCGGCTCTGCCAAAGCCAGGAGGGGCAGTGCTGGGGTGGTGATGGGCTGCAGTGGGTAACGGGATTGGCAAGGGGAGATGAAGGCTCCCCCCTTGGGCATGAGGCTGAATTCACCAGTGACTAGTATCCACTGCCAGCTCTGCCATGGCCTGCATGAAGTGAAGCGTTATGCTCCCTCCCCCCATTCCCAGGGACAGGATGGGACCCCAGCTAGCACCTGTTGGGAGCCTCAGCAGGGGTGCCCGGACTCTGTGGGCCAAGGTGCACTCTAGGTGGTCCCTCCAGCACTGAGGCACATGGGTAGTGGTTTGGCCTGGTGCTGTTCTGTGGATAAAAACAAACTTCCATGCCCAGGAGACAACATGGCATGCGATTCATGTCTGAGCACTTCAAAAAGCAAAGGTACCTGGTTCTGCACGGCTCTGGGCGTCATTTCCAGCCGTGCACCGTGAGCGCTGGCTTTCTGCTGGGCTAGTGACTGACACCGCTGGGTACACAGGAGGGCAAGGTCTGAATGGACGTCTCCCAGAGTGCCTCTGCCAGTGTGACCTCACGGAACAAAATGGCTTCCTCCGTGCAGCAAATGTGCCAGGAGACTTTTCCGCTGCAATCTGCTTCAACTGCACTAGAGCTTTGCTGTGCGCTGGGGAGATGATTTTGCCATCTGGGACATGGCAGAGAATCAGGTCTAAGGAATCCAAACACTTCGAAATACTCCACACCCTGCACACGGGTGACAGGTTTTGTCACCGAGATCCCCTTGAGACTGTCACCTGACGGGGTGGATAATGCCACTGAGCCTGGTGGCTCACCAGCCTGTCCTGCCGAGGTGGGAGCTCTGGTCTCCCCCAGCCAAGGCACAGAGTTAGGGTCACCGCCCCCCAACAGAATAACACAGAGAGTGAGACCAACTCTAATCTGGAAGGGCTCAGTCGAAGGGACTAGAGACAGCACCCAGGAGCACAGCCCCAACCCCCCAAGTACATCCATATAGAAGTTTCACGCAGAGAAAGCTCATAAAGTTTGTTCCTTTTATCAATGAAAGAGAGAGATGCATAGCTCTTATCCAAGTAACAATTATTTACACTGATAATAAAATGATTTTATTAAATATAAAAAGTAGGATTTAAATGATTGCAGGTGATGATAGATGGGCTGAAATTAAACAAAACACGCCAGCTACCCCTAATGCACTAATAGAAATTGTTACAAGTCATAGTTCCTCCCCCTAGCTCTTATTTCAGGTGAAGTCTTTTCAGGCCAAAGCTATTCTTTCTGACCTGGGTCCAGCAGCTCAGCTTAACCCCTGTCATTAGAGTTCTTTTGGTTCCAGGGGCTTTCATGTGTCCTCTCTGGGTGGGGAGCAGCGTGAAGCCAGCTGAAGACCATCATCAATTGCTTCCTGTCCCTTAAATAGAATTTCCTCAGGGTCTTTGTCCCATTCCCTCCACCCGTGCGGAAAAATACAACATTCAAGATGGATTCCAGCCTGAGGTGGCAGGGTTACATGTCTTTGTAAGACCAACCAAAGCGTAGGTTTACAGGAAAAGCAAGACTATTCATAGATCCTTGTCTTGAGCACCGGGCCATTCAGTTCCTTAAGTGCCACAAATGCGCCTCTCCATAAAAAGGGGGCGTAGGGTCACAGGGCAGCCTTGTGGTTTAAGAGTTGGCACAGACAGTACAAGAGGAGTAGCACCTCACTGGGTGAAATATCCCCAGACACCAGTTTACAAGGCTATGCAAATCAAGGGGAGCTTGATCTAGAAATAGCAGGTTAGAGCCCAGAGCAAGCTGGCATGGGCAAGTCGATCAGGTGAACACATGGCTCAATGGTTTTCTTTATTAGCAAGCATCCCGTTCAGCTGCGCATTCTGCATTCATAGAGTTGATCTCAAGCTCTTATCTCCTCGCTTATCCTCGGGGTCATGGTGGAGTCTCCATCGCAGGCAATTTTTAAATCCTGCAGGGATGGTGTTTAGACAGATGCTGTAGTTCAGAGGGAGATTCTCGGGAACATCCTATGGCTGGTGTGAATCAGACAAGAGGGTTGCTAGGCTCCCTTCCGGCCTTGGCGTCTATGAACCCGTGACTTCCCAAATCCTGGGCAACGTGCTGACAGGGGCAGTTGCTGGTCTCTCTCCAGAGCCAAACAGAACGATCATCACCTTGCAAAGCTGTCATCACCACTGGCACCAACAGACCCCTCTGTTGGGAGTCTCCGCAAAGACTCACAGGGAAGGGCAGGGGAGGAGAAGGGGGGTCTGCCATAAAAACAGGTGAGCCAAAGCCATTTGTGATTTAGGGGCTCAGAGATTCTTCCCTGGAGAGCTGGACATACGCTTCACAGCCTCCTCTGTGGCCCGGGAGTCACTCGCCTGCTGGGCTGTGCTTTGCCTGCTCTCTCTAGTCTTGTTTTCAGATGTGGCTAACGTGCTGGTTTCCTTTTTCTCCAGAAGAGACAGAACATGTTGAGGAGACTGCCAAGAGGGACCGCTCCCACATAGAGAACACCCTCAAGCTGAATGAGGATAAGCCAGCAGACGACTACTCAGGTAGGACATGGGTGTGTGGAAAGGGGGTGGGGGTGAGGGAGGTGCTGGGGGCGGGGGATGGGAATAGAATGTTGAATCAAGATACGCAAAAGCGACGAGGAGTCCTGTGGCACCTTATAGACTAACTGAAGTGTAGGAGCATAAGCTTTCGTGGGCAAAGACAAAGTGGGTCTTTGCCCACGAAAGCTTATGCTCCTACACTTCAGTTAGTCTATAAGGTGCCACAGGACTCCTCGCCGCTTTTGCAGATTCAGACTAACACGGCTATCCCTCTATACTTGAATCAAGATATGAACGAGGAGTCCTGTGGCACCTTATAGACTAACTGAAGTGTAGGAGCATAAGCTTTCGTGGGCAAAGACAAAGTGGGTCTTTGCCCACGAAAGCTTATGCTCCTACACTTCAGTTAGTCTATAAGGTGCCACAGGACTCCTCGCCGCTTTTGCAGATTCAGACTAACACGGCTATCCCTCTATACTTGAATCAAGATATGAATCTCCAAATATGTTCCTTATGTAGCTAGAGTCGATGCACCTTGTTTCGAGTTTCCCTGCCATCTCCATAGCAGGAGGCCAATGGGAGCAAACAGTCCTCGGCTTCCCTTACTTCTTGCAGAAGCAGAAGTACCAGCTGCTGGCGGAGTTGCCCTCACTAGACTCTAAATCAAACTCTGGAAGATTGATTGTGGCAGCGTGACTCTTCCATTGAGGGAAGACGTGGCCTTAGTGCAGATTCATTGCACATTCCTCACAAGAGGAGAAGAGCCCGTACCCCCACCTTGGAAAGAAAGAATCCCGGGGGTGAAACTAACAGCACACGTGTCAATTTCTTTTTCTAGTCTTAAATCTTGTTTCTTACAAATCTGGTAACTTCCACGTTCTCCTTCAATTCTTGAAGAGACATCAATTGCCTCTTAAATTCTTACCTTTCCCCTGGGTTTCCATACTTCCGATAGTTCTAAATTTGTAGGGGTGGAGAAGGTTGGGGAAGCATTCGGGGTGAAACCCTGGGAATTACGGGGCCAGGGTTTTATGCTTGGACTTTTGGGTAACTGTTGGAACCAACCCTTTGAACCTGCTGAGGTTCTGCCATCGCGAATGGAAACCCTTGAGGAAGCTCGAAGGTTTGAGAGCGCCGTGGCAGAACATCGGAGGAGGAGATCCATGAGGTGGGAGTGGCAAAACCACAGGATTGCTTCCCACAGAAGCACCTGTGATGTAGTGGGTGCTGTCTACGTGCTGGTCGCTATGCTTGGGCTGTGGGTGACCCCACTAGCCTGTGTCTGTAAATATTGCCCGGGAGGGGTCACCCCTGAGCTCCAGCATGGAGACAATGGCCGGCCGGGGCTTCTCACCTGAACAAAGGAAGGGGTGTGGCTACCTGGGGGATGTGTGTGCGGTGGTTTTGGGAGAGGCAGTCTTGGCTAGGAAAACATGAAGGGAAGAGACTAAGCTGAGTACTGAGGGTTCAGGGGCCTGTGGACCCCTACCCCAAGGGGTCTAGGGCTGCCTGGCCCTGGCTCCTGTAACCACATTGTGTCTGCGCTGTGCTGTATCCTGGAGAAACAATAAACCTGCTCAATTCTGCCGGCTGGCGGAGTCTCATCTTCTGCGGACGGGGGCGCAGGATCGGGAGTTACCTGACACGCCACCACAGCACCTCAGAACTGAGCACCGGTGACAGACAGGCAACAGCTCCCTCCCAGCGAAGGAAGGTTAATGGCTCTGGAATAGCTGGTGGGACAGGCCTGGAATCTGCCACTCTCACAGCAGCGCTCGATCCAGAGCATCTCTGAGGGCTGTTTTCTGGGGTACTAACGATGGGGACCTAGGACGGCAGGGCACCTCTCTGGTCATTGACTCGAGTCCCCTTCTGTCATGCGATGTCGTGTCCCTTCCTAATGCCAGAAATCACAATCTTCCAGCTGCCCGATGGAGATGTGTTTATCTGCACGGCCTGTGGGTGGACATGCAAGAGAGCCAGGGTGGTGAGGAAGAGGGTTAGGACACCAGAGGTCTCTGGGAGTAGCTTTGGCCTTGATTTGTCGCTGGTTTATCACCCTTTGGCCCTGTAGCCACACTGCAGCGGTTGAGGAAGATCTACCACTCCTCCATCAAGCCCCTGGAGCAGTCCTACCGCTACAACGAGCTCCGGCAGCATGAGATCACAGGTAAAGCAGGGACAGGAGGGTTGCATCAGAGGGTTCGGCCGTGCCTCAGCTCGGGGCCAGACACTGGATCCGCGGAAGACCTCGAACGTGGAGTCTTCTTTTGCAGCAGCCAGGGATGAGCCCCGGGGCCTGGCTCTGCTCTGCTGGCAATGGGTATTTGATCAAAGGTCGGTCCCCTGCTGGCTACACCAGGCCTCCTAGTGATGGCTCAGCCCTAAAGGAGGGCTTGTCCCACTCCACAGGAGGTAACTCCGAGGAGCTGGCAGGCGCCCCGAGGGCCCTGCGACCTGCGTGACATGGCAGCCGCCTGGCCCAGCTTCTAACGGGTTGGTGTCCATGTCACCAAGCCCCAGGGCAGCCTCAGCAGAGCAGCCAAGGACTCAGGTCCCCGCTCAGTGGGAAAACTAGGCCTGGGAGCCTGGCTAGGGCCTGGATGCAACCATGGCGACCGAAAGCTGCAGCCCTGCTCGGCTGGGGGAGACACAGCCCCTGGGGCGGGCGGCGACGCTTGCTCTGCGGCTGCCCCTGCTGCTCCTACTTTCTGGGCTTTGTGCTCACCCTACAAAAAATAATGAGCCTCCGGTGATGGGCAGGGGAGGGTTACTCCAGAGCTGAGTCCTGGCGTTTGTCCTTATCGCGAGGGGCTGATCTGTGGCTTACGCCCTCCCTGCCTCCCCTGTCTGTGCTCCCCCAGTTCCCTCCCTGCGCACCCTCCGTCCCCTCAGAGGCTACGTGCATTCACCACGGTGCATGCCCCCGTCCCTAGGGTATTTCTGCTCCTCCTCCTGGTGCTACCGACCCGTCCCTCGCGTGGGTCAGCATCACTCGGCACCCCTCTCCCGTCTCTCGTGGCAGCTGGTCTCGGCTGAGCTACTCCAGCCCCGCCAGTTCAGTAGTCCATGGTCCGACAGCATTACGGGCCTGGTGGGACTCGACACCGCGCTCCCCACCTCGGATCGGCAGCCTGGCTTTGCGTCCCTCTGCTTTGCGCAGTGATGAAAAGGGTCGTTATCCCGCAGGTCTTGTGGTCAGGACCATGAAGGGCTCACGTCGGCTCTGACTCCCATCCTGGCTATTTGTTTGGGCGGGCCAGGTGGCTTGGAGGGGATTGTGACCCGGGCTAAACCCCATGGTGAGCACTGAGCTCCCCGTATTTAACTTCCTGCTCCCCCCCAGCCACGCGTACATGTGCACACACACACACGCGCACACAGCCCTTTGGAGCATCTCCTTTTTCCGTTCTTAGACTCGGTTGGTTCTTTGATATTTCAAAAGCCACCCAGCATAACCACACGCTAGGGAGGCAGCCTTCCCGCAAATATGTCCCGTTCCTCCTCCCCTCCTCGGGGTAGCTCCATTCAGTGACACGTTTCAGCGCCTTCGAAAGCCGCTTCCTTTTGCAAGTGCTGCATACGCTGGGGCTTCTGCTCAGCTCTGATTAATATTTGGGCTTTGTGGATGCTTTGCCTGACTAATTCCCCACCTTTGGGCTCTGCCTTTCCCTCGCCTCTGTGTGCACACGTGTGGGTGCCGCGGTCTTGTGCCTGCCAGCTAGTCACGAGGCTGAGAAAGGCGGGATGCGTGTGACAGCGACGTGCCCCTCGCTTTGGTGCCCAGCCCTGGGGAGCAGGAAGTGGAATTCCAGCGTAGCAGGTAGAGGAACATGCTCAGTTCCGCACAGACAAGTCTCTGGTTGTTTACACCGTCCAGCTTTCCTTTCCAAGCCAGAAAACGTAACCCAGCCTCCAGACGAGCCCCAGAACAGCACGGCGGGGGTTGTTCAGGGCACTGGAGCAGAGACACCTGATGCAGCGAGAGGGGTGTTTCTTGCCCCCTCAAGAGGCCTAGCTGCATCCACAGGGAGGAGGCCACACAGGGCATGAAATTACTCCCAGCCCTGAGTCACTTAGCTCCTACATTTTAGGAGTAGCCCAGGCCTCCGACTCGCCAAACAGGTTTCTCCCTCCCTTGTCTCCCAAACAGGTGGCTAATCCCTCCCCCCGGGCGTAGCAAGGGGGGAACAGAGGGGGGCAGTTCCCCCTGGCACCTCATTGGGGGGCGCCAATTTAATCGGCTTGCCTGCTCCTCCTCTGCTCACTGCTGCAGCCAGCTGGAGCCTCCTCCCCGCCTCTCCGCCCCCAGACCCACCCCCCTGCATCTCTGCCAGCGGGTTAGTGCGTGTGGGGGCCTGGCCCCAAACTGGAGGGGGCAGGGGAAGACGCGGTACAAACTCCCCCACGCAGGGGTGGGCTCAGCCATGTGCCAGGTTCGGGGCCCTGCTGCTTGGCAGTGGGGGTGGCACAAATTTTGCTTTTGCCCCTGGGTGCATAACACCCTCGCTACGGCTCTGCCCTCCCCAGGCAGACCCTGTGTGGCTGGAGCCCAGCAAGCGAGGGCCCCGAAATCCAGCCCTGCCTTTTCGCCTCGCCCTTCCGAGGGGAGCCCCGCGTTACCTGGCTTGGGAGCTGGAGCAGGTCGGGGACAGGCCTCGGGGCAAAACATGTTCCGTCCTGGGGGGGAGCAGCATGGCAGTCTGGCCTGGTGGGCGTGGGCCCGCAGAACTGATATTGCCAAGGAGAAGAGTGCTACGCCCACTCGTCTCCTGTCCCCTGACGTGGGAGGTGGGGATGGGAGCCACGTGGCTGCCCCGTAACCAACCCGAATGGCCACCTTGGCATCAGGGCGTCCCTTCAGGCACTTCACTGTCCTGGGTGCAGCCCCTCCCAGTCCTAAGCTGGAGTCTAGAGCAACCGACCCGACCAGAGACACCGCCCAGGTCTTACAGGTGTTGGGGCTTGGGGAGCGTAGCCCCTGCTCTGGGATAGCCAGGCAGTGCAGACGTGCTCCGTCGAGATCCCCATGCAGCCAGCTCGCTCTCAGGTCTCACAGCCCCGATTTCATGCGCTCTTCCATTGGGAGCCTGGGACCTATCAGACAGGCGGCACCTTGGGCCCCCAGGTCCCATTTCCAGCAGGACTTGGCGCGGAAGACAAGTCATCCTGGTGTTTCCAATTCACACCCCTGTCTCCTGGCGGTGGCCACACCCCTTTCCTTGGAGAACAGCCCCTCCACCGTTGTCTTTCATCGGCATGATGTCAAAGGCCATTTCTGGCATAGGGGCTTCAGCACTGCCCCGTGCCACCACGTCTCCCAGCGCTGGCCCTCCCCCCGCAACGCCAGCACATGCCCAGAGACACCAAAATGCTCCTTCCTCCATACACCTCCCTGTTTCTGGACTGGGTGGAAGTAGGGGGAGGTTTCCCTGTAATGCCTGTACCAAAGGCGTCTCCCCCGCACGCCCACTGAGCCCAGCCGGAGAGCAAACGGAGTCTGTCAAGCGTAGGGGGATGGCAGTGACTGTGTGGCCCAGCAGGGAGCTTGCACCTGGGCCGGGGAGCCCCTGCGACACAGCAGCCCAGAGGAGCACACTGCGCTGTGGCGTGAGTGTTCGCTCCATCCTCCCACTTCCTGTGGCGTCTCTGCCAGAGGGTCTGCATGGCAAGCTGCTGTGGGCAGTACAGGCCGCACTGACCCCTTCCGTTTCCCTCGGCCGCGTTAATAACCGACCGAGAGACGGTGGCTCGTTCCCGTGAGGCCTGAGTACGTCCCGGCTCTCCCGAGAAGGGGCCGGGGAGGATACAGGGCGGTGTCTCTGTCCCCCAGGGTGGCTGTCAGGTCACTAGCAGGCCCAGACGGCGCCCCAGTCTGACAGGACGAGTGAGGGGGGTCCAGGGCTAGGGATAACGGGGAACAGGAGCGGCTCCGTGCGTGGGAGTGTGTGGAGCCGGGAGGCGTAGGCCCTCTCTCTGCGGGAGGGATGCCCGTTTCCTCTCCAGCACGCTGGCGTGTTCTCCTGGGTCCCTCTTCAGAAGACCTTCGGCCCGGTGGGGGAATGGTCTGGTCCAACGACAGGGCTGGAAGATGTCTCACCACGTTGCGGTACGCGCTGGCAACCCTAAACCGTGTGTGTGTCCCTGCAGACTAACACGGCTGCACCCGGGGCTGCCTGGCTCCTGGCCAGTGTCTTCCACACTCAGGCAGGGTAGGAGGGAGGACCTGGGACATTGGCTTTGGGGCTGTTCCTGCAGTTCGGCGGAACAGACCCTAGTTGTGGCTTGTTCCAGGCATGTCAGCCGACTCCTTTAGCTCTGCAGGAGCAGGAGACCCCTCAGTGTGAAGTTGTTACTGTTCAGGGGGGCTCCTGGCAGGCCCCCCTCGACCTGCGGCTGCCGGCATTCTGCGGGCACAGAGGGGATCTCAGAAGGGCTCAGGGAAGGCAGAAACCTGTCCTTGGGCCACCCCCAAAAGGCTGGTCAAGGCCCCTCGTCCAATCCAGGTCCACAGGCTCTGACAGGTGAATTATCCCTCTCTTGGCGCATGAGCCCTCTCTTCTCGCAGGGGTGCTCCTGGAGCGTTGGCCCGGCTCTTCCCCGGCTCTCTGAGTGGGCAAAGGCTGAACCGACCCTCAGCTCTCTGGCTCACGCCAGATCACTCACCTCATAAGAACATAAGAACAGCCAGACTGGGTCAGACCGAAGGTGCATCTAGACCGGTATCCTGTCTGCCAACAGTGGTCAATAGCAGATGCCCCAGAGGGAGGGAACAGAACAGGGAATCCTCACATGATCCTTCCCCTGTCACCACGTCCAGAGAAACAGAAGCTAGGGATACCATTCCGACCCATCCTGGCTAACAGCCATTGATGGACCTAAGCTCCATGAGTCAGTCTAGCTCTTTTTGAACCCTGTTAAATTCTAGCCTTCAACACATCCTCTGGCAAGGAGTTCCACAGGTTGACTATGCATTGAGTGAAGAAAAACTTCCTTTCCTTCCTTCTGCTCACCTTGCCTTTTCTCCCCCGTCCCCCGCCCACAGCTTTGAGTGAAGAAAAACTTCCTTTCCTTCCTTCTGCTCACCTTGCCTTTTCTCCCCCGTCCCCCGCCAACAGCTTACCACGGACGCACCCTGGGCTCTTCAGCCACAGGTCGGTACTGCTGCCT